ACTTACAGGATTTAAAAGGCATGCTTGGAAATCTCCCTTCATATCTGTCACTGCAACGCGGTCATGTGGCCGCTTTGGGCCAGAAACCGATGTTACAACCGTCGATAGGTCAAGAGTTAGAGTTTGTGAGTAGTTGGGATCTTGTGAGGCATCGGAGTAATCCCGCAATTGTCCTGTCTCTTTTAGATATTGTCGAATAACTTCTATCTTTTCTTCTGACCGATCTGTAAATAGAAATGATATTATTTATGACTTCGAATGTTAGTCCTTTTTTAAACTTTACGTACTGGTTTGTCTCAAGTAAGCCAACGTATTTTCGTCGATTGGAAAGAAGCTTACAGTTGCTCCATTTTCTGGAGACATATTACCAATAGTAGCACGATCTGCAATACTTAACTCTGCAACACCAGGACCATAAAATTCGACGAATTTTCCAACTACACCAACTTGTCGCAGATTTTTTGTAATTGTCAATACTAAATCAGTGGATGTAACAAGTGGCCCTAATTTGCCAACGAGTTTGTAACCAACCACTTCCGGGAGCAACATGGAAATCGATTGACCCAGCATAACAGCCTCTGCTTCGATTCCTTTAATGGGTGTATACTTTAGCGACTTTTTTGTGCTTTTAATTTAAAATGTTGAAAAGCTTACCCCCAACTCCCCAGCCAAGTACACCCAACCCGTTTATCATCGGTGTATGAGAGTCCGTTCCGACAACGCTGTCTGGATAAAGCAATTTGGTATTACCAATGCCTTCTTCGAATACCACACGGCCGAGGTATTCCAAATTCACCTGATGCACTATACCAGAACCAGGTGGAACAATCAACATATTATTGAAAGCTCGTGCACCCCACTAATAATAAAGAACAGGAAAAATAAAATTAACAACGTTTTATATATTTACATACCTTTAGGAATGTAAAACGCTCCTGGTTACGTTCAAATTCTAAATTTTGGTTCTTTGTTACGGCATCGGGACTGTAAGTAGCTTGCATTTTACGATGATAAGTAAAGATAAAATCTAATATACACACCTCCTGGTGAAATCCACTTGCACCGAGTGATCAATTACTAAGTCAGCTGGGCAAATGGGATTAATTTTCTGAGGATCGCCACCAAGTTTTAAAACTGCATCGCGCATTGCTGCAAAGTCGACGACAGCAGGCACACCAGTAAAATCCTAATAAATTCACGCGTATGTGAATATATACTTGAATGTGAGTAAAAAAAAAACGTATTTTACCTGGAGTATAACACGAGCGGGTTTGAAAGAAACCTCCACATCATTGTGCCCCTGCTTTAGTTCAGGTGTCCAAGCCAAAATATTTTGCACATCTTTCTCGAGCACGTAGAAATTATCACAGTTTCTGACTGCCGATTCCAAGAGTACACGAATAGAGTATGGCAACTGATCTGATAAATTTCAGTATACATAGGAAATATAATAGATTTACAGTACGTAAGTCTTTTAAGAGAAAGATTTAAAAATAATAAATAGAATATGTGTTACATTTCTTTATATCCCTTATACATATTTATTTATATTTTTTTTTTTGTACAAAGGTAACATGTTTACACCAGATATGCCAACCCCGGGGATCCCGGTATTTTCTAGGTCCCGAAAATTAATGCAAGCAAATCCCGGCATCCCGAAAAATTTAAAATATCGAATTGATAATAAGTACTTGTACACCCAACTAATTTTAATTCGCCTTGGTATTAACATTGTTATTTGTGATTTATGCGTACCTCAATCATATGTTTTTTTAATTACAATTTAAACAATGGATTACGTAAAAATTAGCCTGTATTAATAAATATGTGAATTTTACAATCAGTTTGTCGTAAATTTTTAATAGTTTTATTTCATGGTATGTTTAAATGCTTTCAGATATTAAATTTTTACTCATATTCATAAAAGTTACGTGTCAATGTGAATCCCGGGATCCCGGTATTATTTAAAAGATATCCCGAAATTCCGGGGATCACAATTTTCTGCATATTTTGACACCACTAGTTCAAAATATATGCAGCATTTAGTATTGTTATTGGCATACTTGCAGTCTTTTTATCAGAGAAGATTATAAAATACATATATATGAATGTAGTATTTTTTCTTTTTGGCTTCTCAGCGCGATAACAACTTTAAAAGTGGCGCGTTTAGCCTATGTACTTATTTTTTTTTATACACAACTACCCCACTAGACCTTTAGAAGCATGATTGCATTCAATCAGCTTATCACTACCAATTATTATGAGATGATTCCCATATGTATGCCCATACAAACACGCTACATAGAATTATTATGTATTATATGCTAACGTATTTATGTAAAAATTATAAAAGCGTTGTAATATGCCGATTTGAAAGTGAGAAAGAAGAGTCGATATCTATTTTCCAGCGATGTTTGCTTATGCGGTACAAAGGTGCATTCCGACTATGTCATTTTATATACAGGCCGTTGACATACAAATTAGCATATATGTACATACTTAAAAAACCTGAAATTGGGGGTACGTACTATGCATGTGCATGCATATGTACGTATATATGCATACAAGTTTCTTGGATTACTTTGCAATCTCTAACGTGAATGAAGGTACTCACTGTATTTTGGATCAATTGAAGCTAGATCGAAGTATTTATATGTGATTCCATTTAATGCAAACGACTTCTGAAACTGCGCAAAAGGATTGGCACCTGCATCTATGATAAGATTTTAATTATGAAAATCTTATTAACCTCAGTTATGTAATGCTTTAATATGATTTTGGACTCGATCTACTTACCAGCCATTATTATAAAGGTATAATCTTGATGACAAAAAAGCAATAAGTCGCTGGAATACACGTCCGACCACAAATAAACTGCACAAGCAACTGGCAATACCTGCCGGTAATGAGTTCGATTTATTAGTGCAAATATAGGCACGGCAGGCAATGTTTTTAAGCTTATTCAATAATTCTGAAGTTAACTCTAAATACTGATCAATACAACATTTGAGATATAATCATTCGCTAATTATTTAAACTTAATAATATTACTTTATATTATTATTAAGAAAAATCGACGAGATTTTTTAAAACTTTCGGAGTCCAATAAGAATGTATAAAGGTGGCAGTGTTCAATGCGCATCTTAAATTAAGCTATATGCATAATAAAGCTGATGCCAGATAAAACTTCGTGGTTTGCGTGAAATTTACAACTTTGCCAGCAAAGCGTCAGATCCAAAAGGTATGCCACAATGGATGCCAATAAAACAATTTTGTACTGCTTTTTTACTAGCCAAAATTGCTGTGGATTTTATATATTTATGGCCTTATTCATAAAAAATAAAGTAGATTTATAAAAGGTTTATAAATGGAAAAATATATCAATTTATACATTTGTAAAGCTCTATAAATCTACTTTTTTTTTAAGGCTATTAGTTTTGAAATTATAAGCAATGTAATTAAATTTTATTATATTATATTACGATCTATGTGGCATGCTTCGTGCATTTTCATACAATTCATCCTATGGGCCACGGTTAGTATTTATTGATCGATCCATCAATACTGCATGCTACACCGTCAATAAATATCGCGATATTTGCATCACGTCAATAAATACTGACCGTGTGACAGAGCCCTAAGATGCAAATGCTTTGCCTTGTAGATTTCTTAAGCTGATTTTACACGGGTCAATTTTCTAGTCGAATTTTGTCGTTCAACCAAAATCGACCCGTGTGAAAGGCAATTCGATCGTGAAATGCAAATGCTTTGGTTAGTCGATATCTTAGACGATTTTCCAGTCGACAAAAATCGACCTGAAAGAAGTGCAGAATACGGAGTATTGAGCTAGAAAAAATTGCAAAGAGGACGAGGTCTGCCCTCTTTTGTATTTTATTGGTATATTTAGGGTAAAGAAGGTAACATCTTACAAGACTTCAATTTTTCATAAATTTTCCTATGTTTATTATTTATTTATGTTTCAGCGGGCACAACAACCCCGCCCAGATCGGTTAGTCCCTCAATCGTTGTCGTCAAACTCTTCTAACGGAAGACCAGCTTCGACGAGGCGTTAGTAGAGTGAGATTCATTGGGCATGCGGCGAGGTGTCTCGAGTTTTGGGATGTCTCTCCACATGGCGGGCACTCGTTAGGTACATCTGCGTTTACTCTGCTCAGGTACAAGAGGTCAAGAACGCCCAGAAATTTATGATTTTTCATTCCTTTCCGATTACGTGACTTGGTTACAAGGCGAATTTATACAAGTTGGTGTTGATGGCGAATTTAGATTTTCGCCGAGGTACGTCTTAATGTCAAAATTATGTGTTTGTTGTAAAATGATTTCGCCTTCTTTACAACAAACACATCATTTTGACATTCAGTAGTACCGCGGTGAAAATTTAATTCGCCATCAACATCACCTTGTATAAATTCGCCTTGCTTGGTTACTTGGTTCATGGTTGTTATTACCCAAGGCGTATTCATACTAGGTAATAGCATCAATACAAAAACAAAAATCGCATGTATTTTGTCAAGGTGTATTTAACAAGGCGGTTTTGGGGCGCTTTTGAGTCTCGATAACAAAAACTACTCACTCATTTCTCAAATTTTGGGCACGAAATCTAGTTTTTTGCGCTCCCGTACTTCTGGACATTGCTAAAGTTTTGAGAGCAAATTTTTCGCTTATTCTCTAATGACCGGATCCCGTCCGGGTTGTACAGGAAAGTAAAAAAGTTTGGTCTTCTTCAATTTTTCTCTCCTCTCTGTTAAATTTTTTATGCAATTGAAGCGATTGTGCCATACACAACACAAGCGATTTAATCAAACCGCCGAGCACCATTTTAATTTTCCTTGGTAGACGGAAAACCAATAAAAAGATAACTCCACTAAAATACACTTTTGTGAAAAACTATCGAGCACCGATTTGCCAAGTATCATGCTCGGTGAGAAGATTCCTTATGTTCCCTTAAGAAAACGAAATCGAAAACTCTTATGATAAAATTATTTCATACATACTTACATATATGTATTTGGAAATATCGCCATTGCAACAAAAGGTTAACCAGTTTAACAATATATATTACTCACGCATATAAAAATGTTCAAACACATAAAGGTTTAGACATGCATACATACATACGTAGTACTCATAAATAAATTTTGATAAGAGTGTAGGTATTTCTTGATAAAAAATATATGCCAAGCAAATTTTGGTCTGTGGCGTTGTTTAACAGAGTTGAACTGCATTTGAAATGCTTAACAAAAAAATTTTACAATTACATGCATATGTATGTCTGCATGTACTACCTAGGTGTAAGATCTATATTTAAATCTTAAGCTTAACATCTAGAAAGTATTTTTGCTATTATTAATCCGTTTCCAATGCCATGTTTGTTTTGCCAACATTTTGCCCCGTGTTCTCAGTAACACTTTTACCAGCATTAGGGTAGTCTTGAAGGTAGGGATTACCAGTTGGTGCTGGCACAGGCGGTAGATCGACGGATTTTCGTGTACCTCAAAGTTAAGATTTATTAATCTTAAAACAATTAGATAGGCAATTTAATAACTTACTACAGCAGCCACCCATTTTCAAATGTAAAGTGAGCAAATAACTAGGTCTCCCAATCACTAGCAGCGGTCAACGATAAACTAAGAGCCATTTGTTAACAACTTTCCAATACATTTAGAAACTAATAATGAAATTTAAAACTCAAATGATAAGATTGTTGAGCTATGTGAATTAACCCTGCTAGATGTACCTGATTTGACTGTTAACATTCCGGCAATTTAACTTTTAACTTTCGTAGTATTGATACTTTTTGTATGGTATTTGCACATAATGCTATATTACTAAAAAACGCGAAAAGATATACAACTTCGAAACAGTAAACCATCGAAACATGTATATGTTAATATTTTCATATGTTGCTTTAGAGCACGAAATCTGTCATTTGTAGTCATTGAGCAAGAAGGGGTTAAAGTGAATGGCTATTGGATATGTTACATCTTATCTATTCCAATTAGAATTGATACATTATAATTTTAGATATATTTTCAGAGATTTTTTTTTCATAAAACTAATGGTCTGATTATACATACGTCGCATAACTTCGCATAAACTTTAAACTATAATTTCGTATGTACTTTGTATGTATTCCATTATCCAGAAATAGACAGAACCTTTAAAAACCTAGCGATCTGTTGAGTTTAGATTTTGCTTTAAATTTTCTTAAGTTACATTTCTATTACACTGGAACAAATTTTTGTACGAAGTATGCATAATCAGACCTTTAGACTGCTTTTACACAGTTCAATTATTAGTTGTGTTCTTTTACAAATTATCCAGTAACTTGTCAGTAATATTTTTGTAGATTTTGAGGACAAAGCTAATACAAATCCAGCAATCTTAAATATTGATATCGTTCTGAAAACACCAAGTTCTGAAAAAATGCGATAAAAAAATTACTAAAATGGAGTGTTTTAGATACCGTTTTCCAAAGAATAGTAGTATAAAAATTATGATCGGCAGCACTGAAAATAAGCATGGCGAGCTTGTCAAAATTAAAACAAACACGTTGCTACTAACAACACCTTGTTATTATTACACCATGTATTTAAAGAACCAAAAGCTTGGCTTCAACAGAATCAAGGTGTTCCAACTACAGGTGATAGCGGTAGAAGCCATGCTTCCTCTTGTGAGCACGTCAAATTATCGCCTGTTTTGCGTTATTAACATATCCGCGTATACATACACAGTAGCGTGGGCCGAAAATCCGCTTTTTTTTAGAATTCTGATTATAATAATAATAGATTGGCACTTACACATATGTTAGTGTTTGGCCGAGCTTCTCCTCCGACTTGTGGCGTGTGCCTTGATGTTGTCACACAAAGCGGAGGGACCTACAGTATTTTTATGAGAAGCTGTTTTTTCATGGCAGAAATACACTCGGAGGTTTACCATTGCCTGCCGAGGGACGACCGCTGTTAAGAAAAAACCTGTTTCTATATTTTTTTTGCGATGTTGCTTTGACCAGGGCTTGAACCCAGGTGCTGATGGGTGAAAGCACGCACTGCTTACCACTACACCACAGCGGCCGACGAATTCTGATTGGTAATAGCAAAAATATGGCCCATTATGCTCTAAAAAATATCAGTGTGAAATGTGAAAATTTTTGGTCAATATCCTAGGCTTGCCCAAGTCCATCAAAGTTCAAGTACTAAAAAAATGTTTTCCTTAGCTATTCATCTGGTAATCGAAAAACAAATCTTCAAAAAGACAGAAAATAAAATAAAAACAATAACGAGTTGATTCACGTGAATACATTTATTATTTATTATGGTAATTTTGTATTAATTTTGGTGTAAAAACAAATTAAACGTTTACAATTTCACGTGTACAAATACAAGTGCTGAGAATGAAAACAAAGAGAAAATGTAATAGGTGATACGCTGAGTAATCGCGTCTAAGTTTCTGGGTAAGTCAAGTCAAGTCTAAGTCTGGCATAACCTAGCTGTTAGCGGTCCGCGAATGGCACCACACACAGCGAAATTCGCATTGTCAAAATTAGAACATCCGCAAGTATATGAAATTGAACAGGAATTTCGCTCAGCAGCGTTTCTTAGCGATAGATTTATTTCTAACGCTCTGCTGGGCGATGGCAGCTGTACGTGCCAAAGGTGGCCGTATTTCTTTTTCTTTCTCTTCATTTAAAGGAAAAATATGTCACATATTTTTATTTATTTGCCACAGCTGACGAGCGACGCACGCGATAAGTAGAGTGTTGGCTATCTCTTTGTTTTGTGTTGGCATGAGCGTTGTCGAATTTTGGCTATGTGGACGGCTGCATTTGAATTCATGTATTCATAGTCAGCTGTTGAAGCAACGCCAGCGACAACGCAACGCCAAAGTTCTATGTGAACGTGCCTTTACAGTTCTGGGCAAAATGGAATAAAAAATGGAGCACACAATTTTGTGAAAAAGTACCTCGGTTTCGTTTTGGATTTGACTCTTCGTTTCAAATTTATTGGAAAATATTAGCGGTAGCTTTCAATAATTGTGATTTTGTAAGTCAATTTTTGGTAAAATATATACTATGCATATCCAACAGATTATTATAGCAGTTCCCCGGATAGCTATGATTATGCAATTTGGTCTAGCAATTTAAACGCATAATTATTTATATCATAACTGATAGAATTCTGAAATGTTATCTTAAAGTGATAACGAAAATCAAAATCGTAATAAAATTTCCCTTAAAGGGAAGACATTTTAAAACTAAGTACGCATATACATATACTTCAGCATTTAAGGAGAAAACAAAGTGCGAAAAGTGGACGTGTTTTTTGCAAATAACTCTTTTATTAATTAAAAAATTAATTACCGTTCATGGATTATTATTATTGGCGTTAAAACCCATCGAAACCCTCGAAAATTTTCGTCAATTTTTGGCCTTGTCAAGCTAAAGTGCACTACTACCATATTTTGTTCTAAGTTCAATCGTATATCCTACTGCAATAGTGCACACGGGGTAAAAAATTGTTTATACAAGTGTTGTGTTTAATTCGGTATTTTACTTATCTTACTCACTTATTATTGCAACCCTGTTGTTGTTTTTTTACATGCGCTTTTGCCTTGTCCGCCCCTAAGTAGCAATGAAAATCGCATTCATTCATAGATTTCAGATTAGTGTTTGGAAAACTGTCGGCTGAGTTATAGATATTAAAAGAACAATCGCTAAGCAGCAGGTTGTGTTGTTCATCGCTACGCAGAATTTAACTAATTATTCAAAGACTTCGCAAAGGCAATGCAATAGTGATTTCGTAAATCGGCATTTGTTTTGTTTTGATTTCGAACTTCTTTTCGCCACATATCTCATACATATATTCGCGTATCTTTCAAGTGTATCTTTTATTTAGGCAATTTATCCGTGCTTGACGTTTTGTTGTAAATGTCAGCGTAATGAAATCGAAAGAAAAATAAACGAAAAGCAAAAAACGCATGTAAAATAAAAATTAAAAAATAACATCAGAATCTGCTTAACTGGTGATTTGACCAATTGCATTTAAGTTTTTGGGGTTAAAAATTATTTACATACCTTGCACTACGGCAAAAGTTAGTCAAAAACTAAACTATTGGAACTGGAAAATCGATACAAAGAATAAATTAATTTTACTAACCACTACTGCCGTGGTTAGGGCTCCGTTGCAGTGATGGACGACGAGTTCAAGCTCTGCTGGAAGAATTTCCAGGACAATATTGCTAGTGGATTTCAAAACTTATATGATCGAGGGGATTTGGTTGATGTCACACTTGCCTGCGATGGAAAATTGCTGCACGCACATAAAATTGTACTTGCGATATGTAGTCCATACTTTCAAGAAATTTTTATAACCAATCCCTGCAAGCATCCCATAAGTGAGTAGATCATTATGCCTTTCATATTAGACCATACATAATTTTATTTTAAGATAAAATACACTAGCATTTTAAAGTTTCTTTCTTAAAGTTTTGTTCTTTTTACTGCATAAAAGAATGGGTTTATGTATATACATACGTATGTATGTATGCATGCAATACTTAGGTCTACCTATTAAGTATTATTGTTTTGGTATGTACATATATATATATGTATATATATATGTATATACATACATCTACATATACCAAAGTATACTTAAGTTCATGCATACATATGTACAAATTTCTCCAAGTACAACGGTTTACGGAACAAATTTTGAACATATTCTAATTTATTCATCAAAAAGTGGCATTGTTTATAAGCACATAGGTATCTAATGTCCTCTGCCGGTTGAAAAACTTGACTTTTAATTGCACTATATACAAATTAGTAACTAAAATTGTTTATGCATGAAGTGTGTTCAAATTCTAAACTATGTATTTTAAGTACCTTGCCTGAGTTTCTAAGGTTTGATCCAAATTTAAATGAATCCATATCTGATATATTTAAGTATATAATATGTACTACATATGTACATATATTTGTACATTGCCATGAACAACAAATAAGTAGGAAACCAAAAAATAACATAGGGATGTTTACTTCGTCGTTGTTTTTGTTGCAACAGCATAAGAATTCCCAAAAGAGTTTTTGGGGAGTATTGCTGGAGTGACAGTCTTTGGCCAGATATGAATCTGGGTAGTTCCGGTTACGTACACCCGACTGTCGTGGATATGCAGAATAATAGCATGTTTTGCTTTGTAACGTTGCTCAAATACTTATAACCAAATTTCTTACTCGTCTTTCCGTAATTCTGTACTTGTTGTCAAGCTCCTTTAACGGAAGGAAGACGAGCTATTTCGACGGGGTTGGACGAGAGGTAGAGGAGGCTGTTGCCATGGTAGGTACTTAACATTTAGGAGTAATTTCCAAAAAAAAAATGAAAGTCACTAAATGACGAAGATAAGTATGGGTCAACCATTAGCCCTCTGTTTTCAAGATGGTGCACAAGATGTCGTTCAGGCATCGTCTGAAAATTTAATTTTTTTCTTATCTAAGAAGTTACATACATAATAGCTACCCAAAAGATAATTTAGGCAAGCCTTATTAAATAAACCCATTCTAAGAGGCTTACCTAAGAAGGGCTGCCTTCTGAAGTACGTCCTATAAAAGCGCGTCCATGGGTAGTTAAAGAAGAAGCCCTTCA